ATGTCATGCTTGGTAGGGTGGAGGGTCGACGAAAGAGGGGGAGGCCTTCAACAAGATGGATTGACATGGTTGTTGCAATGATGGACTCAAGTATAGCAGGGATTGTGGGACTGGCGCGGGATCAGGCAGTGTTTTGTTCTGCTGTGCATGGGGTCTTTATGAGTCGGAAACGACTCGACGGCACTTAACAACAACAACAACAACAACATTGGTGATGTTTGCACAGCATGGTTAATGTAATCGATGTCACTGAATTACACATGTAAAAAAGGAATTAGCAAATGTTGTATTATAAATATTTTTAACACAATAAAAGAAGAAAAAACATTAAACATCAAATTTAATGCATCTTTGAGGATTCTAAAATATTTCATCCTGAGCAATCATTTTAAAGAACAATTTTCTTTGAATTATAGATATTCAAAAGTCTCAATTAACAAACATTCCTAATTGATATAATCATGACTTAAATAGCTTTTGTTTTATATCTCCCCCCTAAATTCTTCCCTGCCTCCTGCTTCCTCCTCAATCTACTCCTGCAGACCTTGAAGAGAAGCTGAGATTTTTTACTACAATTACAAAAGAAAAGCTTTGGAGGGTTTTTAAGCAAGAGAGTGGAATTACCTTATTATGAATGTATAAAAGATTGCTTTGCTGCTATAGAGAGAATGGACTCTAGGAAATCAGACAAAAAGCCACTGTAGTTGTTCAAAGAAAGACGAGACAGAGAAGTGGACAAATTCAGCATGCATTTTGAGATTTAAGCTGTAAATATTTAGTGATGAATTGAAGAGAGGCTGAGGGGGGTGGGACCATGACAGAAGAAGAGAACTGCTAGGTTTGAGGCCTGAACAAACTGGGTATACAGTTGTGTCAATATCTGAGATAAGAAAGGCTGTAGAAAGAACATGTTTGATGGACAACAAGAGTTCTTCTTTATGCACACTGAGATAGATTAGGAGTCAAAAGAATGTAGATTCAGGAAAAGCATTAGTTAGAGAAAGGGACTGAGGATGGAGTCTGGGGTCATGCTAATATTTAAAGGGCAGCCAGAAAAGCAGCCAGCAAATAAGACTGAAAAGGAGAGACCAATAAAAGGGCAGGAAATTAAGAGATTACAGTGTCACAGAAAACACACTGAAGATAAATTTTCAAGAAAGAAACATATTAAAAGCTGCTAGATGTGAAACAAGATGAAGACTAAAAACTGACCACTGGATTTAGCTACACAAGACTGAGCATTTTGTAAAAAGCTAGTATGGAGTAGCAAGGACAAAGATCTGAATGAGTGCTTTTAAAGAGAGAAGAGACTGAGGCTAGCCCGATCTCCCTTAAACTCCAAACCAAACCACATTTCATTCTGTATTTAAAAATATCAATAAAAATACTATTTGATAATGGACTGGATAAGGGGAGTAGGAGTAGGGCTAGGGCCACGAGGGAAAAAAGGGATCAAGAATGACTCCTCAATTTTGGGCCCTAGGTAACTGGGTGCTAAGCTCAAAAGAAAAGGCAATCCCCAGAAGGCCAGACATGAGGGAGATACATTAACTGCGCACTTGCCTCAAGTGATGCCTCTGAAACCAAACCTGAGTTCAAATTTTTACTACATACTAGCTGTATGGCCTTAAGAGGTTATTTTGAAACCTCTGTGCCTTAGTTTTCTCATCCATAAAATAAACATAATAATAGAGTTGAAATGATATTAAATTGATGGAGTTAATAAATATAACAGTACTGGCACAGTTAGGAGCTCTGGTGGCACAGTGCCTAAAACATTTGAGTGCTAAACAGTCAAAGCTAAACAGTCAAACCCACCAGCCGCTCCACAGAAGGAAGATGAGACAATCTATGTCTATAAAGAATTACTGCCTTGGAAACCCAGTGGGGGTCGCTATGAGTCAGAACTGACTCAACAGCAGTGCATGAAGTAGGATGAAGAACATTGTCTTTGTGGACAAATATATATCCCCCAAGATTATGGTCCTGAGCCTCAATACCTAGCAAGTTATTCCCTCACAGTGTTTGGTTATGACAAAGACATTTACATAACTTTATCCCCTGTATGCTCTACGACATCCTGGATATATCTGAAGCACATATAAATACATAGGTAGAAAAAGCCTCTGTTAAACCTTTATGTATTTGTGGGTGCGGTCCCATATGCCTTTGTATGCCTAGAATAGAGTTTTTTTAATTCTAACAATACAATGAAGTACGTCAATAAATTTAAAAACTTAAGAAATGTATAATTTCCTAGAAATATATAAACTACCAAAACTGCCTCAAGAAGCAATATGAAACTTAAAATGACATATATATTAAAAATACTGAGTCAACAGTCAAAAATATAAAATACACATTATTTTCTAAAAATAGCAAGCCTTGAAGGCAAATTTTATAAGTCTTTGTCTTATGCAAAGGAGCTCTGGTGGCACAGTGCCTAAGGTATTTGACTGCTAACCAGAAGGCTGGTGGTTCAAACCCACCAGCCATTCTTCGGAAGGAAGACTGGGCAATCTACTTCTGTAGTGATACTGCCTTGGAAACCCAAGGAGAGGTCTCTATGAGTTGGATCCGACTCCACGGCAGTGGGTTTGGTTTTTTTTGTCTTATGCAAACAACCTCCCTTACTCATTTTGTGAGGCAAATATAAGTATGAAATAAAAAACAAGAAAAGAATAGGAAAAAGGAAAATTATAGGCTAAATATGCAAAGATCAAAAAGATCATATATAAAATATCTGCTATACCAAATCCAGAATGAATTTTCAATCAATTACCATAGAAGCTGTGGTCAAGAAATTAAATGTCACATTGCATTGGGCAAATCTGCTGCAAAAGACCTTTTAAATGTTCAAAAGCAAAGATGTTTCCTTGAGGACGAAGGTGAGCCTCACCCAAAGCCATGGTATCCAATTGCTTCATATGCATGCAAAAGCTGGACAGTGATAAGGAAGACCAAAGAAGAATTGATGCCTCTGAATTAGGGTGTTGGCAAAGAATATTGATTATACCATGGACTGCCAGAAGAATGAACTAATCTGTCTTGGTAGAAATACAGCTGGAATGCTACTAGGAAGTGAGTATGGCACAACTACATCTCACATTCTTTGGTCATGTTATCAGGAAGGACCGTTCCCTGGAGAAAGACATCATGTTTGGTAAAGTAGAGGGTCAGAGGAAAACCTTCAACAAGATGCAATGACACAATGGCTGCAATGATGAGCAAAAGCACAGCCATGATTGTGAGGATGGCTGAGGACCAGGCAGTGTTTCATTCTGTTGTAAATGAGGTAGCTTGGAGTTAGAACCAACTCAATAGCACCTAACAACCACTACTCCAGTATGAGTACATTAACATAACAAAACAAAACTCCTGTTTACAAAAAGGATCACATCCACAGGTCCACAGGTGCAGGGGCTGGGACTTCAATACATACTTTAATTCTAACAGAATACAATACACCAGAGAATGGGACTGAGGACTTCCATAAATATTTTAGGAGGACATAATTCAGTCCGTATAGTTTTGTTTTCTTCTACCACTTGTTGTTGGGTCATTGATCCATTTTTAATTAATTATCATACATAGTATAAGGTATATGTCAGGTTTATTCTTCTGCATGTGGAGATCCAGTTGTTCCAACACTGTTTTTTGAAGACACTATTCTTTTCCCCATTGAATGGATTTGGCACCTTTATTGAAAATCAATTGACCACAAATGTGTGGTTTTATTTTTGGACTCCCAATTCTAGTCTATTGGTCTATATATCAATCTTTATACCAGTACCAAACTGTTTTGATTATTGTAGCTTTGTAATATATTCTTAAACTGAGAGGTATGGCTCCTACTTTTTTTCAAGATTGTTTTGGCTATTTCGGGATCCCTAGTAATTCCATATAAATCTGAGGAGCAGCTTTTCCATTTATGCTGAAATAGCTGTTGGAACTTTGATGAGGATTGTGT